CCTTTTCGCATCTCATTTCTACATTCCACATACCCCGTTATTCACGCAGGTAGCTTTGAGCTGATTGATTAAGTTCAGTTCGGTTCAATCATTTTGGTTTTGTCTCTAATGATTGCGTGTCCGAAATAGAAACTCACTATCTGCTGCTCCATAGCTCCCTTTTATCAACCAAGGAGATTTGTTTCCTATAGAGTCGCAAGTTGGAAATCTTAAGACCTCCCTCTACGGAACTCTCGAAACTGTTCTCGAAACTAGCTATTCTAACAGATAAAAAACAATATTTTTACATTCACTTAAAATATAATCGTATCACGGATCGATTTTCTATTCATATTTATTCGATTAAATTGCAGTATTTTTAATACCCTTTAACAAAATTATACTCAGCGAAATATCGGATATACAAATCGCTTTACTGTTATAACTACATTAATGCAATTCTGCATGAACGTTGATTTGTAAAATAGGCACAAATCGAAAAACATAACGTAAGTAGCATAAAATAAAAAGTCCAAATTAAGCCCTAAAATGAGAACTTTGTATATCTTATTTTACAGAAAACAAACACTTAGCGTGTATGTTAATATAAAACAAAAAAGTTGTCTACTTAATATGGTATTCTACGAAAATTCCCGTTCTACAATCTACCTGCATCATAAATATTCGACGGCTCTCTGCGCATACGCACGACATCATGACGTCACGTTGGATAAGTAAAACTTGGTCTATTTATGTGTACAGTCACGAGGAAAACGTCATATTAATAGCTAATTTCTATCTAAAATTTTCCTAATAATAATATTTTTTGATATGAAGTTATATTCTTTTATTCAATTTCCCACAATAAATAAATAAATAAGCAAAGTGACATGGATTTAAGAATTATAGGTACCTACGTTTCGAAAAGTTATATGGATATGCACGTAAACTATCTGGTCGTGTTATGAATTATAATAACGAATCAATGTATGCATAAGTTAACGTAACAAAATTATGACGTCAATTATTCAAGTGTTAAGAATCGACCTTGGAAAGTAACATTAAGGTTTAAAAGTAATTTTAAACACATTTTTTTATACAGACAATTGAAAAAAATAGTCGCGACTCGTTAGTAGCGACATAAAAAAGTATAATAAATATAAATAAATTACGCACAGATTATAATAGGCACTTTCAACTCTTTCTCGAAAATGCCCGTGAGCTGCTCGATCTGTGTAAATGCATCTAGAAGGCTCGATATGAGAGTGTTTGGTCTTGCTAAGTTTCGGTCCAATTACTTAAACTTGAACTACTAAAACGATGACGGCATTCAACAGTATTATGATATAGAAACCAAACATTAAGCTGACGATAATTCGCTATCAAATTATCTGTCCACTACGCATTTATACATATGTAGTACCTATCACTTTATTATGTAACTTTTAACTAGAGATGCGCTGAATATTCGTTTAGTATTCGGCATTCGTTTTTATATTCGGCTGAATTATTCGGTTTTCGTGCCGAATATATTCTGTTCTGATATTTCTGTTTTCTAGGCTACACGACACGATATAGAAATAAAAACAAAACTTCGTAAGGAAGTTTTATGTTACAATAAAATTCGAAGAAATCGTATAAAGAATGTGTTAGATAATATATAAAAAATAAATATTTGTGATTTGAAGCTACGTTAGGTACCTTATCAATGTAGTTTAAAATCACTATTATGTTTTTATTAACTATAGTCACTATAAAAATATAACAGAGATCAGAAATAAAATAAAAGATAAGCAAAAATAAATATACACATATTTGAATAAATTAATTTAACACCAAGCTCTCGGCTCTCTCCGGCAAGAGACTGTTAGGTTTTTGACCGACTTAAATCAAAAAGGAAGAGGTTATATGTCTGACGGCGATGTATTTTTTTCCGCAAAAATCAGAAGAATACGTATTTTGCATTCATTAAAAATTCAATAGGAGGATTTTCTATGTTCAATGGGCATGTATATTTTATTGTAAGTAGAATGTTCATCTAGATCTTCTTGAATTGTGAACCAATTTATAGAAATACTTGCTATTATGTAGTTTTCCATAGGTGAAGGAATTTTATAATGCAAACAAACAAACAATCAAATCTTTCCTCTTTATAATATGAGTTAAGATTATTGGAAAAACTAGGTCGAAAATATAAACAAAATTTCCTTTCCTCAGACTTTCAATTAGTCGACGTATTTTTATATAGATATTTAATATGATAGTGTTAACCATTATACAAAAATATAAATATCGCAAAAAAGCATGAAATAAATAATAATACCTACTCATCTCAAAACAAACTTATACTAGAAACCGCTATTAAAGTCGGGCGCCTATATCCTACAGGAAACATCCGCCCGATTTCAATAGCAGTTTCATGAATACCAATAAATATTATTTAAAATTTTATTCTTCACTGCTTCCGAAATTATTTTCAATATATTACAAGGTGCACTTAGAAACACTCTAGCTAAATAAAAATAATGAAATGGTAAACCGAACACTTCGGCAAAATATCCTATTTGTTAAAAATTAAACCAAATATCATCCGGTTATTCGGTGAAACCACTATTCGGTGCATCTCTACTTTTATTATTATTAACTGATATGAAGTAATTTTAAGACAAATCATATCTAAGTTTCTCTAACTAAACACATTTCTCAAATCTGTAAAAGTACGAAAGAATAATATAAATAAACTTCACAAATATCCGTAACGGTGTGCAAGTTGTTGGTAATCACATATGTACCTGTTAACTGTACTTAATAATCACGCCCTTATCGCTACTACGTTACTTACGATGTCGTGATTAGCATAGCCGCAGCACGATTTAGTTAATAAGTTATTGTTTGCAGTAGTATAGATGTACTGCATATGCTCTTGTGAATGACACATATGAAACCTTCATAGAACATTTGTACTAACAATTACTACTTACTCTATTCTAATATTATAAAGAGGTTAAGTTTCTAACTTCGTTTAATTGTTTGTAGGAGGTAATCTTCGGAAATATCTGATCCGTTAATGATAATTCTTTCACCTACGTCGAAAAAATGCTATGTCGAAAAAATTTGACACCATTTTCAAAATTGTAAAAGATATTTCTTGAAGAAAGTTTATCATCCGAATCGGGTCGAGTGGATGGTATATTATTGCAAAAAAAATATATAATTTCATTAAAATTATCACATAATAAATATCTCGTTTTTGTAGCATAAAAGTTGAGCAAACCCATAAATCAATTTTAACACAAAACATGAAATTAAGATTCAATACACGTCATCTATCAAGTAGTGCAACGATCTTTATTAATTGTCGGCTCCAAATAGTGACCTGTTTCTAGGCCATCGTTTACATAAAGATAAGACCTTGGTCAAGGTTTCCACACCGGATAACAAGCACTTGACATTTTCTGTTTTTCTTTTACATAAGTGCAACACGGGAAACTGCATCATTAAACTAATCTATTTTATTAACGTTTCTGTTTTAAGTAGGTATATATCTATCAATATTCTCTCTTATTTCCCACAAATATCACTTAATATCCTCATTAGAATAAGATTATGGGCAAATTATATCTTAGGGTCAAGTATTGATCTATACCCGTAGGATCCATAAAGATTATTCATTTTATATCTTGTTATTTATAGTATTAATGTTACGTAACGGTATTACACGTCAAAGGAAACAAAAGGACAGCATTTTAGATTTATATTCGATATATGAGAACATATGTACCGTCGTAAACATGTATACGCTGTTTCGTCAGAATTCTAATGTAATGTTGTCCGGTCATTTATCTACAAAGTGTAAAAGAAAATCCATTTTGTCCACCTCCTTTTGTTCTGTTAAATATTCAAGCACCTTAATTAAATCGTGCAATTTACAAAAAAATATTATATTTAAATTACCAACTATTATTAATACTTATTTTGAACGAGAAAATTATAAGTTTAAATAATTTATTAATAATTATACGTTCTTCACTTTTTAGCTCTACTGAAAACTGTTAGGATTTAATTGTTTATAGTATTACAAACCCTATTCGACGGGATTAAAATTACTTAAATTTATTTTAATACGTCTAAACAATTGCTACCATCTATCCATAAGCAGGAACTGTACCTATAAAATGCTATGTTATTTTCTCAATGCTTACATTGCACATGTATAATATTTCTAGGTCATAAATGAAATGAAATTATGTTTATTTGCAAGAAAGTGGTCAGAGATATGTAGTTACATAAGAAAAAGTATTGTTAGATGATAGCTATGTTTCTGATAATAGTGACGACCAAATCTCAGTCTCCACGGACTTTGCAAAGAATCCGTAATATCTAAAAGTATATGTTATTCTGTTTAGTACGACTGATGATCAACCAGACTTCTATGTTATCAACCTTAAACACACCTTGAGTCTGCAGTGAACGTTGCCAATTGAACGTCTCGTTATAAGTAGTTGTACGATGCACGCTACCGACTTTTATCTTCGATATTATGTAATTGAAGACAGTATTTTTGTTCACGTTTGTCAACTATAAATAGTTTATGCAAAATAGCTATTATAAGACCATTGTCGTTAGGCAGTTTTCTATTCGCTACGCTATAAATATAATTACTAACTAGTGATTATGTTGAACTGAGATCTAATTCCATACAGTCACAAGTTTTCACTATTATTGTGTTCCTAATTCAGTTTCGTCAAAAAATTATAGGGCCAAAGATTAAATTCATTATAAAATATACTCTACCGCGATACCCCAAACATTTGTAAGGTACCATTTTATTTTAACATAGTTATAATTATAAGATAATTATACAGGTTCTGAAAAGCATACTTACTTTATTTTTATATATAAATAGATCTGAGTAGTACGTATAAATAATGAAGCTTATTTATCAAGAACAGTACAGGAAATAGTAGGTAATTTATAAATACCTTTAAACACATTTGTTAAAAACGACCTTTTTGTTTCAGATATCGCAATAACCACTGGGGACCAATTAGAGTTTTATAGCAACCAAACCAAAATTAACAGTGAAGGGATGCGCTTTAGAGACCTCACAGCACTTGCCTACGATGCAGTACACAATATGCTACTGTTTGTAGACAGACAGAACGATAACGCATCTATATTTAGTTACCATTTAGCCACTAAGAAATACCAGTCATTAGTTAGAAGGAGATCGTTTGAAAACATTCAAGGACTGGCATTTGATCCTGTGATGAGTTTACTTTTCTGGACAGATACCAATGAGAGAAGCATATTTTGGATTTCATTGAAGCCGGGCTCGAAGAACGAATTATATGGAAATCTTTTGATCAAAATGGATGATGAGATGCCTAGAGCTATTGCCGTGGACAGCTGTAGAGGATATATATATTGGACTAATACAAACATTACTAAACCTTCCATAGAAAGAGCCAGATTCGATGGTACTGATAGGAAAGTTGTAGTTAACACAGACCTCTTCATGCCGGTCAGCATAGCGGTTGATCAAAGAACTAAAAGATTGTACTGGGCAGATGACAAAGAAGGGATACATTATTCTATAGAAAGCTCAAACTTAGATGGCAATGACAGAAAAACCGTACTTTCTGGAACATATCATCAGCCAAACACGTTAACTATTTCCAAAGATTCCGTATATTGGGTGGACTGGGGATTCAGATCAGTGTGGAAACTCGCAAAAGATGCGTCAGCTGACGTAGAGCCATTTGAACTTCTCAAGTTCAGCAACGAAGTACCATTTGGTATTGTTGCAAATTACGATATATCAGATCAGATAGAAGGTAGCAATGATTGTGCGGCATTGCAAAGGTTATCGCAAAATAAGTCTGCGATAAACGATACATTTAACATTCCAAGAGACATTGGATTGTTTTGTCTTCATGGAGTCAAGCTTGATGGAAAATTGGAGTGTAAATGTAGCCCTGGATACACGGGAGAGAGGTGTGAGGTCTCCGTTTGTTACAACTTTTGTTTCCAAGGAGACTGTACCTTATCATCTGAAGGCCAACCAATGTGCAGGTACCTATATATATGTATTTCGCATGGATATTATGTAGAAAATTTTCTCGGTAATTTTTTTTATAATGGGATAGTTTGTAGTCAATTCCTAGAATAAAATATAAAATGTATAAACTTGAGAATACCATCCTTTTATCTAAAGTCACAAGACAATATGATTTACTTTTCAGATGTCAAAATGGGTTCTCGGGAATCAGATGTGAATTGGATGCATGTAAAGGGTATTGTTTAAACAACGGCGTATGTTCACGGTCTAGACAGAATCCCACATGTCAATGCGGCACTGATTACGAGGGTTCAAGGTGCGAGACCCTCAAGGTGTACACAACTACAAACACCAGCGTACCAGTCACGAGTGTCAAAGAACACTGCAAGTATGTATATAAGTGTTCATGAAGATTTATGAATAAATATCAATGATCTTGCAGTAAAATACAACTTATATGGCTCACTGATGTACTTATGCACAGTGTTTCGTTTCGAAGCGCGGCAAATGTTAGCCAATCAGATTGATTCAAGTATTACGCCATTGAACGATCCTTCAAAATCAAAACGCTTGCCCCCGCCAGGTGTGAGTGAAATGGACACATAACGTGTTGTATTTTACACCTTATGATTATTGAAACAAAACTAATTATAAAATTCAATCGTAAGTCGGTCATCGTCGTTATTGGTAGGTCAACTCTTTGCAAACGAAGATTCACCATGTGCCATATTACTTGGAATTGACTGTACAAAACCTTATCAAATAGACACCACTTAAACCCGTTTCACCACGTAAGTTATATGTCATCCGCGTATGTAGCACCCGTAGATGAAATATATTTTTGAATCGGATCCAAATCATTTCTCTTTATAATATTAGTATAGATAAAAACAAACTACTAAAATGATGTAGCTTAAATTTAAGCCGTACCACAAAAAAGCACTAGTTTTCGAGTAGGTATAAAAAGTAAAATAAACAGTAAAACCTTTTTTGAAAAAGGTTAAAAGCGTCATCACCTCATATATATATTTCAAGGTCATTACATACTAAAAGCTTTTGTTTTCTTCTTTCAGCTGCACAGAAAAGGTTCTAGCCACATCACAGCAATTATCAGAGAATTGGAAAGAAGGAGAAGTAACACAAACTGTGTGCAATCCTGAATGGGACAGCGTGAGGGACCCAGTGATTGTTGTGCTCGGGATTTTAAGTGGAGTACTGTGTATCATTTGCACTTTCCTGGTCACCAAGGTGTTACAACTGAAGAAGAGGCCAAGGTTATAATACATTTTATTAGTTTTACATTCCGAATAGGATCTTATCGCCAGCCTATTATTATCCCTACTATTAGAGCACAGGCTTTCCCCGTGGATGGGATCGAATGGGGTACGGAGAATAAGCCATGGCCGTAGCCCACCGGACTCGGCACGGGTTGGTGGATGTTAAGGACCGCGAATACAGACGCGACCAACTGCTTTACATGCCTTTCAGATCACGGAGAGAACTCGAGGAAATAAATTTTTGGTCACCCATCCTATGACCGACCGTTGCGATAGTCGCTTAACCTCCGCGTCGCAGACTCAACGCAATAATTACCATTATACCATGCAGCTTCTCGTTTAGTAAGCATCAAATATTATGAAGCTCATTTAAATTGGTATTTTCAGAATAAAGAAACGCATCATAGTGAATAAAAACGTGACACCCATGACAGCAAGGCCTGATCAATGCGAGATCACCATAGAGAACTGCTGTAACATGAACATTTGTGAAACTGTAAGTATTCATTTAGTATAGTTAACTCTTTAACTTCACTTGATTTTAAACCTTAATACGTTGCTAGTGGAGTACAAAACCACTTGAGGAAGTTTGACATGTTGTTACCACTCGACGTGCAGTTGTGTGTGCAATTCTAAATATTTGACCTAACGTGTAGACGAAGGCTTGTAAAAATATTATAGGAAAGCCCACGCACTAAGCCGTGAGCTAAGTTCAAGATCTATTTCAAGAGCTTTTATTATACGAACGTATTTTACAGTTCTGAATAGCATCCTGCTTTTTGATTATTTACACTTAAAATATATTTTGATGAATGAATGTAATTAGAATTTGCTCTCTGAAGTAACTGATGATGATTTACGATTGTTTAAAGCACTCACTTAGTGACGATCTTTAGACAGAATGTTGCCTAATAAAATACTTCTAAATAAGAGTAAAATATTTTCACCACAGTATATGAGAAAAACAGATGAATATAGACACACAATCATAAATATTTTTTATTAACAAAATATAGTGTCACTATCTGATTTCGTCGCAATAAGCAGCCACTTCTCCTTATTAGTTTAAAACGATATCATATATCTAAACAAAAGATCATAAAATCTGATTATCTCATAACAAAACAAATCAACTCAACAATAGCAATACGAGATTGGATGTTTGGATGTTTGTAATACTGTCAGCTGTTTATAGGCCGATGTTATAGCTAGAATAAATAAAATTCTAGTTAAGAGTATTAGTATTAAGTATCCAGTTAGGCGTATGAGTATTAGTACGTACTTCCAATAACCTAAAGGAACAAAAAATGCTATCTGATAATTATTTAACGGGGTTTAAATGGGTCTAAAATTGGCAAATAATCCCTTTACGCAATAATGTATATGGATTTTTTTTTAATATTCTTATTAGTTTGGATAAGACCAATCAATGAAATAATGTTATGAAGACACTGCGATAGTAGGGACCTATTGGTGGGTTCGAATTTAAAATACAGGAATAAGCATAAATGTTAAATTCTGTAAAGTTATATTAAAAACACTTCGTTAACAGGTTTGCGAATACATAATATTACTCAATCGCCATATATGATTAATAAGAATATGGGTGTAGGTGGACAGTATACGAAAATAAATATATAACTATTACCGACAATGACATTTTTATGCTTATTATATTTATAATATTGCTTAAATTGTTATGAAAAAACAAATACTTTATTTTCATTGTCACGTGTCACGTACTTTATTTTCATTCTTACTCGTATCAGGACTTAGAGAATTCAACCTTAAACATACTCAGAACGATATTAGTTTCAAAGGGCCGTGACGTCATAGCGACGCCATAGCCTAAGTGTTCGCGGGAATTTTTTAGATTTTAACTTATTTATAAAAATAGTTGTGTCCATCCCTTTACATATAAATAGATTTCACTCTATAACTGTTCAAAATATATAAATGTTACCGTTGTCTATTTATATAGAAAAGTCCAGACAAACTGATATTTAAAATTATTTTTAACGTTAGTTTAAAATTACAAAAAGTTATCTCATCAAAGGACTAAGAGAAGAATTTTTAGACAAAAACATTGTCAAACCTACTGTAATGTACAGATGAACGACGGCGTATACGACACACCAGTTACATAGTCACTTAATTAATACTTACTACTTAAAACAATAAATTCAAATAATTTTTATTTCTGTTTTTATCATATTTGTATAAACATACAAACATCGCTTTAAAAGCATCGATATTCATCATCATCAATATGTATTCATGCCAATTGCTCTGGCAGCTACCCCCGGTATATTATCAATCTAAATACTTGATAATTGAATCATATCCTTGAATTTGGATTTTCGTTAGTTCTTTGAATTATCAGCGGATACAAACGTTTTATTGATATAATTAACGGTAAGGTTTGCATGAAACACACGTCTTACTTGAACTGCACATACACAATTTGAACTTCTGATACAAAACCTTAGGACTGGTCCAATTTGGACTTAGTTCATTTTTTTAAAAGTAAATTTAGAACTTAGTCGCTATCGATCCGGATTAATCCGATCTCATTATTTGATAAACTGTTAGGTTTTATTATTAATAAAACTAGGGGAACTATGTGAAACACATACAAATTACACACAAATTATTAATTATTTATTCACATACAAATTATTAATTATTATATCGTTAGAAAAACTGTGGTTAATTCTTAAACATTATCTTGCAGCCTTGCTTTGAACCGAGATCGACAATTAGACCAACGCTAGGCGACTCAAAACCCGGCAAAGAAGAGAAGAAAAATCTCATCGCCAACATGGAGTACCCAGAAGAATACTAGCATAAACCAATAATACGCTGTGTGAACAATACAAGGTGATATATACGAAGAACTGTCAGCCAACTTCATTTTATTGATAAAGATATTTTTAAATATGAAAGACATTGATTTGTTTCCATTATCTATCAGCGATGACGGAAAGTAAAAGAGTATTTTAATGACAGTAATAATTTAATATTTAACGAGCTCACGTGAACTATATTTTATTTTATGATAACATTTGATGAACTGGGGAAGTTTTTCACATCACCACTTTAAATATACATTATATCTTGCACAACTATAAGTCCTTCGCACAATTTTATACTTTATGTGCCGATAATAATATATTACATTATTCACTGTCGTTTTAAAATCCTTTTTTTTTATCATAATAGAGATTTATATAGTAAGTCTGACTGGAGTGTTATTGCTTAAGCTGTAAAACTTATAATTTAACCATCAATTGTCAAATATAGTAATTAACAACAAAATGCAGATTAACTATTTAAAGAATTAAATATTATTTACCCCTATATTATTTGAAATGGAGCGTGACACGTTCTTCGTTACATATTACATCTAATATAACAAAATTGTGATATTAATACACGACTGTTTTGGAGAAATAGATGTCGTTAGGCTGTGTTCTTATTGGCTGCTAAAATTTGAGTGGGAAGCCACTAAATTTTAGGCCATAAAGTTTTAGATGTCTGGTGTTTATATCGGAAGTAATCATTCGAAATTTTCATGGGATGGCATAAGCACGTGCCTTTTAATATAAACGCGTAAGCAACAACTGCTTTTGTAAATATAAAAAGCGTTTTTTATTACAAAATAGTTCTAGGTAATTAACATTATCTAAGAAGCTACTCATGCCAAACCATGTTGATTTTAAACTAGATTTGCGACGTTTTCGTTGTTATAAGTAACCAAAGCATATTGTTTCCATGTAAACTTTCCATTTCATGAATTAATCATTATTTATAATAACGAAGAAAAAGTCAAAAGATCATAAATAGCATTTACAATGAATTATTAAATTATCTATACATATATAGGTTCGTTAAAAAATATACCAAATTTATTTAATAAGCTCAGATAATACATTCATTAAATTTACCATTACTTTGGTGTGGGATCGTTTAGCCTAATAAGGTCCACTGTTTTAAAGGCCCAAGTAACAACAAGTCAACAAAAATATATTTGTATTAGAGCCTTAAGCTCGTGCGGCTAAAATACATTCGAATTACAGTGCTCCTATGTTCATGCGATTAAAATACATTTGAATTACAGTTCTATGCTCATACATTTAATAACAGTTCGTACAGACTGTTGACGGCGGAAGTGTAATTAAAAGGTATTCTAGTTAGTTTTTTTCGTGGGCCTTCTTATGCACTACCTTTTACTTAATTATGTAACCAATATAATTTTGGATATTCGTCTTCAGTATCTTCTTTAATTATATATGCAGAAAATGACGTTAATATTTAATGTTAAGTTCATCAAAAATTGACATTTTTAACAAAAAAAAAATGTTACCCATATTCCATTATTGTATTCACATTTGTTTATCTTGATCAGTTCTTCCATATCGTTTTATAAAATCTACTTGTTGACTATTTATAACATGTTATGAGTGAATTTGCTATCAATCAACGTATTGTATGCTTAGGATAGTTATTTATGAAGCGTATGGGACAGTGAAAGCTTTTTGTAAATGGTATCGTATGAGGTTAAGATGTCTGTCATTATTATGCACGATGTATGCATAATAATGACATCTTAACGTTAGCTGAATGTTATTTAAATCCAAGTTATTTCTAGTATAATATACGTTCAACAGGACATCAGGTTATACAAATCTGGCAAATCAAATACGACATACCTTTTAAATGTTTTCACTGAAGCGTGTTAAATGTGCCAAATTGCATCAAAATCCGTCATCTTAAACAAATCGTTTTCACTGTTTTATAAATCTTCTATATGGTATTTTGAAGTGGCAAATTTTATTTATCCTAAAACAGTACTTACAATATTCGTTTTTTTTTTGTTGATGTCAATGCCCTATTCACATGGGAAGTACGCAGAGCACTTTCGAAATATTCAAGAGATTTCATATTACACCGCTGATAATCAACTGTGCTCGCATATTCAATGTGGAATAGTAGTATTGTTATTAAGAAATATTGTGCATTAATGTACTTATTTAAACATTCGTATGTACTTATTAAAAAAAAAATTCATATGTAAAAAAAAAGTCAAATATACATTGACATACTTAATTTAATATTCGAATGCCCTTATTTAATTTGAAAATCAAATTTATATTGCCAATATCCATTTTTAGTATAGAACAACCTCAGTGACGTGTGTTCGTAGTAATATTTAGAAATCGGTGTCTCCTGTCTCGACAAAGCTTGCCAGAGCACCGGCCACGTGCTTTTTTGGATTTAGAATAAGATTTTTACGTTCCTACAATTCTAAACCTACAGTACCTCGCGCTAAAGACCTTTTTTAATTAATAAACTGCCAAAGTTATAATAATTACCACATCTAACAGTGCCAGAATCTCAATGTTTAGCTTTTCAAAAAAAAATTGGAATGATTTTGTATATTTTAATTTATTGTTATTACACTACAAAAGGGACATTTTATTGAATACACCGAGTAATTTTATTTTTAAACGACTATTACGTATTTGGCTGATATTTTTTCAAGCTATTTCGTATGTCTTATTTCATGGTACTTAGAGAACTTAGACAATTTAGATATAGATTTTTTTATTAGAATTAGTTTAGTTCGTGGATTAATAATATCCACATCAGAAATGTGATATTATTGAGTCTTTGTATAAGCATTAGTATAGAAGAAAAACATGATTTAATATTAAAAATAAAAATCATTTCGAAATGATCACTGTGTTTTTAATAAAACCCTTTAAATTTTCATTAACATTTATTAACGCATAAACCTTGTCTTTATACAAAGGGAATATAAGATAATTCTGTAATAGTATTTACAGATACTTCATTTTGTCAACAATACATAAGTTAAATTAAAATCTGTCCAACTCATGTAATTTTCAACTTTATTGCACTGAATATAAGGTAAATCCCATTGTGAAACGATTTAACTTCATATTTGTAGTTTACATAACAGATTACCCAATGACATTTACAAGCGCACGTTAACTTCTGGGTTTAATAACAAAAACAAAACCTTATATAACGTAAATTATATTTTTTAACTAAAATAACTATTTTAGTCACAATATCATATACAATTCATCATGTAACTCATAAATTCATAGGAATACATTATTTATTCTAATCAACATCACCCTGAATTGTTTATAGCTATATAGGTCCCTTGTCATACTACTCGAACTCTACATTAGTATGAAATACAATTGCATTAGTATCAAAATAAGTGTGGGTATTTAATAAAATATTACTTGTGACCTACCCACACTTATTTTGTTAGTAAATAAATAAATAATTTTCCAGTATAGCATTGTGAATGTAAAATTGTTCAAATATATTAATTTTGTATCATATTAAATTATAATATTGCACTACTCTAAATATATAATATCTTAAAAAAAGTTAAACCTTTCACCATGGATGGATTAACAACTATAAATTTTTCTAGATATTTACAAAATTAGAACAAAAATTGCCCTAAGTGGAAATAAAATAATAAATAAATATTACAACTATACTGCTCAATAAAAAATAACTAATATCTGGTAAATACAATATGTAAAATAGTAAATGTAAAAAAAAGTGATAAAACTTTGGTTAATGACGATCATTAATAGGAATAGGAACTGCTTATTAACTGATAATTATTTTAATCTTTATTGCACCGAAAAAATTAAATGAGTACAGTCTTACACTGCACATTTTTGTGTAGTCACATTTTCACGTGTTATTAATTTTAATAGTCCTAAGAAAGTCTCAGTTCCTTGTCTCTGTTCCATTTCGAAGTTTAAGCTAATAAGCACTTAATTCTACTACTGATGATGAATGACCGATGTCTTGGGAGCCCTCCATAAATAGGCTAGTTGACAACTTTCATTTTATAAATAAATAGTCCATTAATATCTGAGAAATAAAATAGACGTAATATCATGTCTGCGATAAGTGTCATAAAATTCATTTTGTTAAATATTTATAAGACAAAACGGTTCATATATTCTGAACATATAACAGAAACCTGTATTTTCACAAGCCTATTACGTGTTACTTTGACATTCACAGATGCTATCGCCAAAGAATGATATTAGAAGAATATTTAATAGTACGAGTAAGCTGTGATAGAAACGGTGTGAACAACGTCATACACGTTACAAAAAATCATGAAATTCGAGTGAATTTAAGAAAGAAACATAAATTACGTATCTGTTTCTAATCGTGTTACTGCACGAAACAAACCAGCACCGGTATATGTTTGAAATATCCCTGGAGTATTAGAAGGCGATTCTTTTTGTAAGTATGAATACGTTTTTTTTCTTACCTGAAATTTATTAATTTTTAACTGTATTAAGTTATTTTAACCGCCTTTTTTTTATAGAGTAACAGCTATAGATCTATCTAACAAATAAAAAGGTGTGCAAAAACATCACACGTTCCACATAAAATGTCTAAAAAATAAAGCTAAACTATAGACAATTATACAAGTTTTCAATGAGACGAAGTAATAATTATATGAAGGTTAGCTTCGTCAGAATGGCCAAAACTTTTTTGTATTACAATACTGATTTCAATCTACTTTATATTTGCAATTTATGTATAGGTAATATTAAGAAAGCATAATAAATATCTGGAAACATATAATACTCACACAATCATTTATTGTAAACTAATCCACACTTTGACAAGCAAAATATACATACATACAACTTATGTTTGTGTAAAAAATAAAACGGTATCTCGCGAAACTGGTTTATTTTAAATAAACCAAAAAATATCGACTAGACTTTTAGATTACAAACTAAATTACTATACCTGTTTACATCATGTCAACTTTATGGTTCCAGGGTGCAATGATCTAAAATGTGTAATATGTATTAATAAAATATATAATAATTTATATCGTACCTATATATCTATAATAATACAGAACCTTTATATTTAACCGTTAGTAATACAAAGGTGCCACTTCTGTTATACCACTCTCTAAACTAAACTAAGAAGTTTCAAATTTTAATTTGGATTTTTTTATCGTTATTTTGTAGTCATATGTAATCAAAGAAACAATAATACTCAAATGTCATTATTTTCAGAATTGGAAATACAGTTTAACAGGATTAAATTTAAATTCAGTCTAGTTTATACAACAGAATTGCTACCATTATGTTTTCTATGGCCCTTAAAGTTCAGTTATTACTACATTGCAATAATGTGAAATGGCTTTGGAATTTATCAGCTTAGCAGAGTAAATCTTAGCTAACTTATATTTAAGAGGCATTTCAGTATGCTGCCATTGATATCCTAATATTATCTCTTCTAAGTCAGCCATTATGTGCGGTTTAATTTCATTGGATTATTAATTATTATTATCTGTAACAAATAAAAAATATTATTAATAAAAGGAAAGAGTATTACTTAAATGACATCGCCGAAAATGGCCCCAATACCATTAAATATTAATACTTCAATAAAAATTACTAATTTATTTATTAAATTGGAATCAAATATTTATTTGACACGGACAAGCTGCGATCCAAAATTAATATTTAAAAGTACTTTAACAGTAACATTTTTATTCGCAAATATTCACATTCAATATACTTAAATTCTGTTGAGTCAGATGGATGTAATTTACACGTCAGATCAAGAAGATTATTTTTTATTATTAGATAACCTTTAAATCATCGAACACAAAAACATTAAATTAAATTGACCGAAAATAAACTTAAATTGTCTAAAAGCGCCATCTCTTGGTGATTTTCCAACTAAAACATAAGGACATAAAAACTGAATATTATACAAACTAAATTCATTAACTGTTGATAATTCACTCTTGTTTATTCAGAAAGATTGATATTCATACGACATATCCTAAAAACTACTTTGTTTCTATTACATTACCTTTATATTTCTCGTAAACATATTAACATCATGTCATTTATGTATTTAAGGCGCCATCTTTTGATGTAAACCATCAAAAAGCTATAGGTTTTTTAATTTTAAGCTTATCAATAGGTATATTATTTAACTATTAGAATGCTTTATTTGTCTATTGATTGTCTTAGAAACTTTTACAAATCACAACGAAAAACCGACTTTCTTAAAGTTGAGTTTTTTTGCTTCGTCAATATAGACATCAATATCATATCATGTACTTAGAGTGCCATCTCTTGGTGGTTTTCCAAACAAATTATAACCTCAAAATTAATTATATTTTGCGTGATAATAAGTTCCAAAACTCGGTCGCGGTATAATAAATACATAATGAGAATTAGTTAGTGACACACAATAAAATAAGTATTTTCCTATATTTTTTTGGCTCTGGGGCCTCCAATGTATGGACGTTGAGCAATGTCCTTTTATAATATGTGACACTAAGCATATGTGTACCTTGAAGTAAATTTATTTTTCGTGTCGAATTCACAATCTCTATTCAGATAAAAGAAAACTTTAAGAAACGTATTTTTTTTTATTTCAATTTAACGAGAAATAGCTTAGCAGGCATTAAAGTTGAGGAGTGAGGCTCGCTACGTCACAGTTTTGTAGAAAATGTACAAAAGCATGGCGTTACGTGACATTTTAACTCATTGTATCGCCGTAATTTAATGATTATTAAAAAAAACAAAATGAAATTTAACCTTAAATATATTATCTTAAAATCTGTATTTTTATGACTTATAATTAGCACAGACTTTTAATATTGTTAAAGGAAATTATGAAATATGGTTTTTAATTAAAAAACGGAACAAACTTACAACAAAAATATAAAATAATATCTCTTGCCCTGCAACGGATATTGTGTTTGCCATGCTTCAAAACTACATATAACTTAGGTATTAAAACACTCGAGTCAACCTATTAATGCATATCGATATCGATAAACAGACTCGTGTTTTAATACCCTCGAGTCAACCTATTATCGATAAACAGACTCTCGTGTTTTAATACCCCTTTTAAAATGACAGTTGCATAAACTACTATAATCATAATCATCCCCAAATAAATAGTTCACCTCAGTCCCGTAGTAACGCGGCCAGGTCGTTGACCTCGTCGCGATGTTCCCGCATGTACGCGTGCGCTTCCCACAGCATGGTAACTAGGCGGTCGTCAGCGCGCTCGTCCATCGCCACGTCCGCGGACATGTGCGGCGAGAAACGGAAGTACGGCGCCCCCAGGGAGCTGCACCAAGCGCGCGCGCGCTCCACCACGCGACCGTCCGATTGAGTAGCCTACGTTACAACAATGCTACATCTTTAGTCCGTCTCATATAGGCTTGCTGAAAAAGTAGCGATGTATTGATACATCGATATTTTGAATTCAATATATCGATATTTTTAACCGATGTATATTGATCCGATGTATCGAAATATCGATACAAAATATCCAGTATCGAAAACGATTTTTTTTTTAAATTCTTATGGCAATGATATTCCGCTGAAACCCGAAACTATAAAAAACCTAAAAAAACTTTGGTTTGGCTGATATTTTTGTTTGATATCTTAAATAGGTCTTAAAGTTAGAAGATAGCGTTTTAGTTCTTGATATTTTTGTAATTTTGTCTAATCAAAAAGGAATACTGGTAAAATACTTTCATGTTTCTTTCGATTTAATCGATATTTTTCCTTTGATATATCGATGCTAATATTGATTTTAGTAAATATCGTTTTTTTTCACTTTCGACTAAAATACATGAACATGCTGAGAGTAAATGCTAAGGAAATTAGCGTGATAATTAATGAATTAATTTATTAACGCCCTAAGTACATAACAATGAGCCTAAGAGCGCGTTTAAATTGAGAGCTATAGTAAACAATAATTCATTAAAATTTTATTCTAATACATGTGAAGTAAAAATAAATTTTACATCCCTTCACTAAAATTTGTGCTTACATTTATTAACATTATTATCCTTATGTAAAAAACATATATATTTATTACTTTTATACCAATTTTTTTTACCAAAAAAAAAGCCAATTTAAAATATCGACTAACTAAACTATTGTTAATAATACACGATCATGTTTAACATGCTACTAGAATAAATTGTTTTTTAAAGTCAAACACATTTTGTTTTGATACATTACGTTACGACTGCAGAATACATTATATATTAACGCAGCAATAGATGATATCAATTTGAGTAAAACACACTAGATTAAGATATCAATACCTAACGTAAATGCAACGTAAGTAACGTAATTGCCACGTCTGCGGACATGTGCTGCGAGAAACGGAACTACGACACGCTCAAAGAACTACACCACGCCCGCGCCCGCTCTTTTTACCTGATCGACTAACAGCCCACCAATCGCTGACACCCCCAAAGCTAATCTTGCTGTGTCCCATATGCTCTCCGGTTTGAAAACATCAATGTCTTTTAATTTTTTCACTGGTATTAAACCTGTAAAAGTAACATTTCAGATTATTTACTATAAGTTAGAGTAGTTTTATATTATTAGGAAAAAATTTTGCAAATTTGTTAAGATATCTTAAATATGGCTAAGACATATTAATTTTCAGTCAACTGCTCTAAGTTTCAAACGTCATTCTTAATATCGTAATGAATCTCTTTTTCATTTAAGATAGTGCCATAATAGGGGCAGGGGCGTATCCACACTAATATAATGTTTAAGTTTGTTAAACCTATCTTTTACTATTTTTTTATTGATAATAAACCAATCACATGGTGTAGAATATACAAAACCATGTAACAGATTTAACTATAAGTGTAGAACAGTAAGTCAGGGCAGTGTATTTTTAAAAACCTTTAATAGTTTAAAGTAACTTAGACTAAGTCTATGTTTTCCATACCTGTACCACAAGATACGACAACTTTTAGATTTGTCTTCTTCGCTTCCTGAAACTCCCCAACGCCGTTCAAAGCCAATCTAAGCTCCGTTAACTCAGTAAGTGCATCTAATGTAGGATTGTTGCCAATCAGTCCCCCATCTAAGTATCTGTTTTCAAAGATTATTGAAAGACATTACATACTGAACTCTTTGCATTTGATATAAGAGTGTTATTGCAAAAAAGGGTTTAAAACATAATTTTATTCTTTAAAATATTTTAATTATCTTGTTTATTGTTTGTCTAGATAATATGTGATACAAATCAATTAATACTTTCATAGTTAGTAACTAAAATAGTTTTAAAAATGTATTTTGATGACCTTTCTATATTGTATCGGATCTGAGTGTTGTGGTCCCTTCTGATATTTTTAAGTTGCTAAGCAACTTTCCCCATTGCGAAAGTTTTTTAACAACTGTAACGCAGACCAAGCGCGCAACCGTTGCCATTCTTTGAGTAGTCTTATAAATTATATTTATACGTTAAAAATGTTACCTGCCCGAGGCTCTAAAATAGGAAGGCGCAGCCCCGGAAGCCCTAGCGGCTTGCCACACCAATTGTTCGGAGGGAGGCGGCGGTGCGGGTAGGGATACAACGGATACTTGATCCCCTGCCTCCGCTCGAGGACCTCAAGATAAAGGATAAAGTAAATAACTAAAAACAAATTGCTCGAGCATAAAATCATAACAAACACTGCTAAAAATGTGCAAAAGACTTTATTAATACCATTAAATTAATAAAGTATTTTGCCCATTTTGCGTAACTAATTAATTACATTCTGAAATATGAATTTACAAAATAAAGTTGTGCGTAAAATTTAACGACAAAATCAAGTTATCCTTAATTAATAATTAAAAATTGATTTTTTATATATGTATATTCTATTAACAATGTCAAACCAGAGAGAAATCGTTAACTGATCGATTATATCGAAATTTAAGTTAAAAAATAATATTTCTTTTAGCTATTTGGGTGGATCGCCTGAACATAGATGAAAACACGGTCAATAGCAATAATAACTGCTTGAAAAGTTTGTCAGTTCTGTTGGGTCTTAGGAAGCTCAGTAGTTAGGGCAGTGGCCCGGATTACGAAAGGTTATGGGTCCAGTACCATCTCAGGATGCGTGGGACTGGTGATTTTTATAAGTGTTTTTCATTAAAAATATTTATCAATATAGCATGGTTAATGCAAAATTGATCAAAATATAACGAATGAAAACTTATTTACACATCTACTATTTAAATTATGCGCTTCGGCTATATTCGTCAAGCTTCGGCAATCCTAATGTATTTTAAAGATATCTATATAGAGTTGTTATTACATAATTAATCATTTCGCTTAAATTTAAATTAGCCAATTTAAAAATAAAAGTATACTATGTTTCTTGCCATCAGCTGATACCAAAATGAAAACCCCAGATTAAAGAAAATCGAATTATGTAGGAATAAATTAAGTACCTATATTCAAATAAGGTAATTTGGCGTACTACAGCTCTATACAATTCTTAATACTGAAATATTGCGTGCTGTCACTTCCATGACTGTCGAGGTACTGACGAGTTTTGGCGGCTTAAACGACGATCACACATTGGTTTCTTGATCGGTTAAATTCGTGAACACGAAATATACCGAGACGCATAATTTAATTAGTATATGTGTACCTAGTATAGACTCAGAATTCATTATAAATACTTGAATAAAAATAAAAACTACTTACTGGCAGTGCCATTATAGGCGTCTAAAATCTCTTGAGCCGATTGATAATTCCTGAATATGTGAAGATCTACTGGTTTCCTGTCCGCTAACACCGCTAGGATCATCAACTTTGGATGCTTTATGTCCGCCATTACTGTCTCTGTACCTGTTTTGATATGTTTATCTATAGTACAATGAAATTTATCGAACCGTTTTTAGGTTTCATATACGTCTATAAAAGTTCACATTACTTTAAAGCAATATTACCAACTCAAATTTAGAATATTCATTAGACCTGAAAATCATCACTAAAACTTAATGAAAGTTTATGCAAAGAAAGGTGTTAATCTCTAAAAAGTTAAGTTGAAAATTGATTGCAGAAAATGGATCTTAAGTAGTTATTTTGTTTGCTGTTATAAACATACTTTCATGTTATAAATATATAATAATATGAATAAAGAAGTTTTACACAACAAGGCTACTTTTTACTGGTAATTTGACTAATGATGACAATTATGTGGCTCAAACTTAAGTTTTAATCCAACCTAATTGTAAATACATATACAGGAGTAGGTATAATTATATATCTCTGCTTACACGTGACTATGGAATATCATTGAAACATACCCAAGTTTAATATATCTTATAGACCTCACAACAAAATAATAATAATATTTTTATGCGTTTTTGTATAAGGGATTGGTTCCCTTATAAAAACCGCATAAAAATAATATTATCTTGTAAAAATCATCTAATTTTGTCATCTACAGTCAAACTCACCCAAGCAATCCTTAAGTATATTCTCTAAAGCTTCAGAAGGATAAGGCCTCATTCCAACGAATGCTAATTCCTTTAATCTGAAGTACAATCTCTGACAGTCCCTCAGGGACTTGCCACATGCCAAAGCGAGGGCAAGTATACCCCCTGTGCTTGTCCCCGCGACCCAATCGAAGCAGGAAATAATGGGCTTGCCTAAAGCTTCTTCGAGTGTTAAAAGTACTTGGACTAGTACTAAACCTCGGATTCCACCGCCATCTAGGCAAAGTAACCTGCGCAAATTGTAATAACAATAATAATATAGTACATTACATGGGACACATTACAAAGAAGCAAAATAACATATACAAAAGGCCTAATTTATAATAGTAATGTCTTTCTGATTATCCTTGTTGAAAAATAAAATTATAAACAGAGTAGGGGTGCAAGGTGCCAGCAATAACTAGATATTCTAGAACTTCTTGTCAATTATATTTACTACTAGCTTTCCGCCAGCAGCTTACCCGCGTGGTTCCGAGGGAACTGTTTATTGCGATATCGATTCATATCGTGACATGGATATATTTAGAATGACGACTGGGTAAAAAAAATCTATCTAGTCAGTCAGTTACATAATTGAAAAATATAAGATATATTTAATGGTTGTAATATGTATTTTTTACGCCAATTTAACAAGAATTAGCTTAGATAAAAGGCATTAAAGTTGAGGGGTGGCGGCTCGCCACGTCACAGTTTTCTAGAAAATATACCAAAGCGTGACGTCACGTGACATTTTAACTCCATGTATCAACGTAATTTAATGATTACGAAAAAAAATTAAAATAGGTGTTCAGTTATTATTAAAACTAAAATAAAATTTTTAACAATCTACCTCAAGGACAAACAAACAAAATCAGTCGTCATCCATATTACAATGACAAATTGAATAGTAAACAATGGTTACTATGATAAAGTTTTAATTCCCTATACAAACTTCCACTCCCATTTCATCCCTTTATTTTCTGTTCTTCGGAAAAAAAATATAGCCTATGTTCACCACCTATGATGTAGCTTCCCGTAGGTGAAAGAATTTTAAAATTGGTCCAGTTATTTCGGAACCTATTAAATGCAAACAAACATAAAAACAATCAAATATTTATTACTAGTATAGAAGTATAGATAATGGTTTAACAAATTGAATTTATATTTTTAATAGGGTTTAATAACGGGCTTGAATACTGTATACTTTTAATTTAGCATTGACAACATTCTGCACAAAACTTTGCAGAATCTGCTAATATTATAAACAGGTAAAGTTTTCTCTTCGAAAATAATAAACCAATCATGAAAATTCTTTCACCTACGAAAAACTACACTAAACGTGGGTGGCATAAGTAATAATTTACGCGGGCGGAATCACGGGGTAACAACCACTACATATATAAACCACCTGCCAACTTTTTGGTCATCGGTAAAACCCGACGCCTTCTCGATGCCGGCGACGGTGAGCATATCGTTGATGACTTTCCTGGCGGGTGCGCGGGCAACGGGCGGCGGCGGCACTCCGTTATACTCGCCGCGGGAGGAGCAACCAGGTCTACATCCAGACATATCACCAGAACACCTGGTGGGGAAAACACGATCTATTCTCAATCACTGATAATATTCAACGCTGTAGTCACCATAACCGAGCAAAAATGGAAACAAGCGTAACATATTATCAGCTTATTTTATTTGATAATTTTTTGCAATGGAAAATTTTCTTAATTAAAAATGTTTCAATAATCCACTTTGTCCCTGATACATTGAGATATGGGTAGTTTAGTGGTTACAGCAGTCGCTCGGATTGCGAAAGGTCGTGGTTTCTAATCCCATCTCAGACTACCAGGGACAAAGTGGATTTTTAAGCGTTTTTTATTAAGAATATTATCAAGTGATTTCTCGATAGGCCAAAAAAAAAAGAGATGGAAGCTTGGCCAAGGCTCACGTGTATAAGCAACACGCTGGGCTCAATTACGTTTCAAATCGCATTGCGATCAAACGATTTATTTTACCGTTTTTATGAGGGCAAAGGAAGCTACACTAGAAAGTGGAAAAAGTGGCACGTAGCGTTACATAACGTTGAGAGGTCAAGTTATATTTAAATTTACTTTATGGGTGGAAATGGTGGGCGAAGAAATACCATGGTATGCTCTCGAAAATTGAGATTTTTGAGTTATCTTTCTTTAAATACGAAACAATGTTACACAAACTAACCTCTTTGCACCCACAGCGTGTAGCACAAACAAAATCTTGTCATAAATACTGCTAGACATTTCTATTGGTACACAATGTCTTGCTGTGTAACCCTCATTGTTTCTCAACTCCAAATTAGCTCCGAAAACAACTAAAGCCTGTACTATAGGTATATTCGTCTGCTTCACAGCCAAATGGAGAGGCGTATTGCCATCCTTATCACCTATAGAGTTTTCCGCACCCCTTGACAATAATGCTATCACACATTCTAGTCTTCCACGCAACACCATTATATGTAAAGCGGTGCGTCCATCGAAATTAAGTGCGTTTATATCACAGTTCTTGTCGACTAGAGCTTCAATCACTTCTCTAGATATAGCCCAGTGTAAGGGCGTGCCTCCGTGTTTCATGTCTTGTTGGTAAAGTTTTGGTTGGTTGTCTTGAAGTAATTCGCCTACAATACCTGTTAATTCATGGAAATGTTGAATTAAACACCTACTTACCTATATTATGAGAAGGTAAGATTATATTTTCTATCGGTTAACTCAAATAGTACTGGACCAATTCTAAAAATTCTTTGGCCAATATCAAAACATATTAGAGATTTCTACTAGACATCATCTTGCTATTATAGTAATTATTGTAAATAACTTATTTTGGCCAGTTTGTGACATACACAATTTATACAGTTAATAGCTCGCCAGAGGCTAAATTGCGTTTCATAGGCAGCTTTTCTGACACAGTTTTTTTCACATCATTTAAGTTCACTACATCAAAAAATAACAACATTGATTCATCAAGGCACTAACAATATTCGGAAGTTAAGTGAATAATGCAATGAGACAATGCAATTATTGAAACGCCATTGAAGTGCCAGATCAGGTTCCGTCAAATGTCTTCAATCGATTTTGAACCTTAATCTACGTTAAAAGGTTTTACAGTAAATGTAATTTATAATATAATAAACCGTGATAGTGCTCGAAAATCCCGAAAATCATGCTAATAAATTACCGGGCAAAGTGCTAGTAGATCTCTTAGCTGCAGATAGATTGACATCGGCGCCCGCTAGCAATAAAGATCTGACGCAGTCCGGTGCGTTTGCGAGACATGCCATGTGTAATGGTGTATATCCTTGTTTATTGTACACGTTCAAAGATGAAGCCGCCTTGCCTGCCAACACCTACACGATATAAATTAATATTAGACAACATTACGTATAGACCGAGAGCACGTAACAAAAATGTATAATTAATCAGTAATACATAGTAACAAGTATTCAGAGTATAGATTACTCAATACCCAGTGCGGAGGTCAAGTGCTGGAAAACTTTGTGGTGATGTAGCGGAACAAACTTCTACCGATTGCTGAATTTGCTTGTGCTTGGTTCATTAAATGAAAGTCTGAGGATTTAGTTATGAATTAACTACTAACAATTTAATAATAAATTACCTTTCTACCATAACAAAACTCTTTTTCGGAGCTCATTTTCACATTAACTTCTGAGATCTGGTGAATAGCCGTGTTTCATGAATCTGAGTAGTTTATTTTACTTTTTATATTAAGAATGAGTTTTTTGGTAATTTTAAAATACTAAAAAACACCTTTATTTTGTTTTTATTATAATTTACCGTACTTGAAAATGCGCAGTCACCACAAGATTGACACAAAATGCTCATTCTCAAATTAAGTAGGTGGCTGTTATCACTTATATTATTGAAATCAAAACAACAGACACAGTAAGTTCAATCTAATATGACGCATTATAAATCTTCGTTTATGCAGAACAGATTTTCGACGATGACGTTACGATGATAACTTATAGCGAGACTTATTTCAATAACTATATAGTTTAAAATAAATTTCATTAAGTGTATGTCTCTCTTACACTAAGCGCACTCAGGCGCTTGATTATTGCTGGATCTTCCGATGGCTTGATACTTGAATTCAGGCTGGTCAAATTTGGCGCGCTTCGAAATAAAATCTACGCAGATGTAGCTGGGACCATCAGCTTAACGTGCCTTTCGAAGCACGAGATAGTAAATTTTTAGTCACCCATCCCATGATCGACCATTGCGTAAGTTGAACTTCTGCATAACGCACTAATTACGGTACCAAGCTCTTCTAATTTAAGAACTAGTAAATATACTTCTATTCATCTATTATTGATCAACTTACGTTAATGATCTCCTTGTTACTAGCGGCTGCGTAATGGAATACGGTGTTTCCATCACGGTCTAACACGTCCAAAGAGCAGTTCAATGACACGAGGCTTTGGACCATTCGTAAATTGCAACTTTTAACAGCAACCTAAAATAAAAATTGTACGAGGGTCAAACTGAAAGTTCTTAGAACTGGCCACTTATAAACAATATAATAAAAAAATAATTCTAAAATTTGAAAATATAACTCTTTGCCAATATTACTGAGTATATATTTCATTCATTTGTCATTTGTTTTACGATTTGGCGGCAAATTGAAAATTGTCTGTGTCACGTCATCATGAATTTAACACGAGAAAATTTTCGTGCAATGATTTTTTATGACTTTCGATGTCATTTAAGTCAACAAGAAAGTTATGATAGACTACGATTGGCCTTTCACGATGAAGCCCCATCTCGTGCGACTGTTTACAACTGGTTTAATGAGTTTAAACGTGGTCGCACTAATCTCACTGATGATTTACGTGAGGGACGGCCTTCTACGGCGACGACTGAAGATAACATCTGTGTTGTGCGGCGTATGATAGAGACTGACAAAAGAGTGACCTATCAACAGATTCGGACAAGCTTAGGCATCGGTATGAGTCAAGTGCACAAAATCCTCCACGAACATTTAGCGGTCAGGAAGCTTTGCGCCCGGTGGATACCTCATAATTTGACTGAGGCTCAAAAACTCCATCGTGTGGATTGGTGTCGTAAAATGATTGAAAGATTTAACGGAGGTGACTCAAATGCTGTGTTCGACTTACTAACAGGTGACGAAAGCTGGATTTACTGTTATGATCCTAAAACCAAAAGACAATCTGCTCAGTGGGTGTTTCCTTTCGAGGAGTTGCCAACTAAAGTGAAGAGAGATCGAAGTGCGGGAAAAAAAATGGTGGCCTCGTTCTTTGGAAGGATAGGTCATTTTGCAACAATTGTGTTAGAGGATCAAAAAACAGTTTCTGCAGAATGGTACACTACCAATTGTTTGCCACTTGTCTTGGAAAAAGTTCGAGAGAAACGACCTCGCAGTAGGATCCTCCTTCACCACGACAACGCCTCGTCGCACACCGCCAAGCGAACGATCGACTATTTGGCGACATCAAACGTTGAATTACTGGGTCACCCGCCGTATAGCCCCGACCTCGCGCCTTGTGATTTTTATTTATTTCCAAAAATTAAAGAAAAACTTAAAGGAAAGCGGTTTATGAATGCTGAAGAAGCGGTGGCTGCGTATCGCGATGCCATTGAAGAGACCCCTAAGGACGAGTGGGCAAAGTGCTTTTCCCAGTGGTTCCATCGCATGCAGCGGTGTATTGACGTGAATGGACAATATTTTGAAAAGATATAATAAAACTAATAACTGGCTAATGTAATCAGTTTTTGATTTTCTAAGAACTTTCAGTTTGACCCTCGTAATGTCATTCCTATATGCATATTGTTATTATTAGAATGTATCCCATTTCTTTAAAAGGCCACTTAAAAGAAGAACATAGCTGATCGAAAAGAATCTTTATACTTAAATAATCATTTATAAATCTGTTATCGATTTAGGTAGGTTACATAAATATCGATAAAAGACTGTACATCAGGTTACCATAATAGATCTATCATTTATATAAAGACAAAAAAGGTTTACAATAAAAGGAAGTTGAATACGTATTGTACTATAAACGACATGAATTGCCAAATTTCATCGCTCTAAGTCATTAGGAAGTACGCACACTACCAAATTTGGACTTCCTTGAGATTGTCGATAAACGGCATCATCTTTGTTTTACGTTAATATGAGTTTTATTTTTTCAGTTTCAAGGAAATATAGACCTAGTATATTCTTTTAATTCCAACACCACGCATTCCTGAAATTAAAGTTCATGGCAGAAAGACTTATAGAGGACAACAAATTGATCCTATATTATTATTATCATTCGTATTTTAAGGGGCTATACAGTTCCGTATGGAACTTATATACTTTAGCAGAATACCAATGCAATGGGTGTACCCATTGCTTACGCTGAGCTGAGGTCAGTTTTGACAGCACACAACATTACACTTTAAATTCTTGTATGTACTAATTGTTTATTGTCTTGTTTGTTTTATACTGGGTTGTGTTGTATGTTGGCAAAATAAATATTTTATTATTATATAAGTGATCCTATAAATAAGGGTAGAGAGCCCCGTAAAAGTCAAAAAGAACACCGTAGCACATCAATTATCTCCTTATTTAAAATTGAATCACATTTTTTACACACACCTTATGGCTAAGTTGAGTGTCTAACAGGAAGGAAGGAAAAAAAACATGGCGTGCACTAGAATACAGCACAATTTATGAAATATTATATAACCAATTATGTAAACATTAATCTAAGTCTGCATCTTTATTTATTTACTAACTATTCCTACGACTTCATCCGTGTGAAGCTTAAGTTACTCCTTATTACATAAGCTATCTACCAGTAACAGTCCCATTAAAATCGATCTAGCTGTTTCAGAGATTAGCTGTAACAAACAGACGGACAAAAAAAAATATTGGTATATGAAACGTGTATTCATACTTTTTATCCCACTAAACAGTTCCCTAAGGACCATGCGGGCAAAGCCGTTGGCAGAGAGCTAGTCATAGTATAAATGCTAATATTTATATTATGCTTTTATTATTATTATAGTCAAATAATAATAAATAATTAATTGCATTGCGTATGTACTTTATTTGTGTAACAGATGTGTTTGAAAATTGACTAAGTAATAAATAATGAATAATTTTCTTTTGTCTATCCCTCATTAAGAATTTAAATAACGTATTTACTTATTTTTCGCGTACCCAATACATAACGACGATACACTTGAGTCAAAATACCTAATTATATTTTCTTCATAGTTGTGACGTAGCAAGCCCCCACGTAACTCTAACGTCTCTAACGCATAGTCTAAAGCATAGTCATTTGCTTACTTAGTCTATACCTAAATTTATACAAGGATTAACGATAAAGAGTTAATTGACAATGACCTTAGTATAGAAATATCACAGATAACAAATACCTACAGGACTACTGTTTGATACATTCAACTACTATATAAATACAGCATTTATCAATGTCTATATTTATCGAATGTAAATAAATCGAAGATAACTACGATTTAAACGTCATTATACAATTTTAAACAAAAACACAATTGTTATCGATAAGTTAAAATAAGTAAAAGGGGAGGGCAAATATCGCCCAACAAGTACTAAAGGAGTTGGACTATCGTTGCGGACTAATATGCTTTAACGGATGCAATGATCACAGTAAAAAAGCCAAGAGTATTTAGAATATCAAACACAATTTGGTAGTTGGATAAAATCATAATAAACAGAAGGCATTTTGAGCGGCATATGAAAAGAGTCTGAAATATAAACCATTAATTCCATAACATAATTGAGTTGAATTTAACATGACTTGAATATTCTACACAACTTGCTCATCATAAAAAATAAAGATTAGATCATTTGTTTGCAGTAAATAAAACTAATGGACCGATTTTAAATATTGCTTTACTTACAGGAATCTACATCATTTGCGGGTGACATAGACTACAATTTACAACAATGAAATCATGAGAAAACAGTTAGTTAAATATAAAGCCCAATAAATTGGATAAATTAGAAAAAATACAGGTATACTTATAGTTATATAAAGAAATAGGTGAAAATGCTAATGCTAATCCTCTCTTATAGCTTGATTACATTGGTCCGCATCCATGTGTGGTTGGTCATTGTTTTATTGGCCAAGAGAGCGCAAAGGTCAATCACACTCTAAGTGTTGATCACATCAGCCATTGTAACTGAGCTAGTATTGAATTAATATGAGCTATTATATATATTATCTTCGAATTTTCGAAAATACTAAGCCATATTTTTGAAATAATATTAGAAATTCTATACCTATATTAGAGAAATACTTGAAAGATTTTTAAATCTTTTATAATTTAAAGTTTGTACTCTGGCTACTAGCAAAATCCAACTGGCAATATTTTACTTTAAAGTTAAATTGTAAAAAAATCTACTTAGATCAATAAACATATGGCAACTCCAAGTATTATAAAGAAATTGTGATAAATACTTACCATAACTGGGGTAGTACCCGATAATGGGTCTGTGTCATCTATGTGGCTTTGTATCTCTGGATCATTGAATAAGTCATGAGGCCCTAAATGGGCTACTAAATGAGCTATAGTCCAAGATCTATGTTCGGATAACACATCACATAATTTTTGAAGACTGGGAACAGTACACTGTAATAAATAATATTATATATTATGCAGATAAGAAGAGAAATTTAATGGTAATGATCTAAAAATCTTTCTTATATTAGAAGAGTGGAAAATCATTTTCTAGTTTATTGCTAACAATCATACAACAATTTTGCATTTTGTTAATTCCAACAGTAACTCATACGAGTTTCTCACCTGATTTCTGAATTGAGAATTTAAAGTAAAGCACATCTCAAACTGTACTTAAGCCATCTTAAATGTCATTAAACAGGTGTTTATTTCTGATTTTTTTTTTTTTTAATTATCAGTTGATAGCAGTTCTATAAAACAAGGACATATTGTGATTTGAAATGTAAAGAACCTAAGTTATTGATAATAATAAGTTGAGATTTTGTACTTTTTGCAATTCAGAAACCGACCATATATGTTTTATAATCAAATTGACAAATAATCTATCTTATTTCTTTCTGAAAGAACTAATCCTCAATATGCTATATATTATATCTATTTACTTTAAATTTAAAACTACAAGCATGACTGATACTTGTGCCTTCAAAATTCAATTGTTAAATTAACATATTGACATGGTGTACATAATGTCTGTCATACCTCCTTTGTTATCTTGATGTATAATGGTATTCTCTCCTTATAAGTAATAAACCTTTCTTCTGCTTCTTCTTGGTTTTCTGATCTAAACAAGCTGCAATTAAAACAATTATCAAAGTTTAAGGTTAATTTATTACTCTCCTAATTTTAATGTAGCTGTATGTTGAAGGGTTGCCCCTTACAAGAGTATAATTTACAGCAGGTATGGGCAACCTTGGACATGTTGTAGGCCAAAATAAATTTTTTACTATAGATATCAGACATGAAATAATACAATAATGTTATTATAAATTAGGTTTCTCAAAATGACATTTTTGCCGGCTGTTGCCCACTGTGGATTTACACTAACAAAGTAATTAAAACAACACTTCTGAAATCCAGTTTTAATAATTTCCAAGTAGTCTTAATTTATGCTTTAATATTAGATATTGTCACATAGTGTGGGCTTCACCACTTATGTGATAATAATGTTTAGATGACCCCTTAAGAACAATCATAATAAGTTGATTTATTTAACAGAACTAGCAATCTCTTTAAAACATTATAGTTTACACCCTGACTCATTCATCATTATGGAATGAACAAAGGTCATATTCAATCAATCATATCGGGGACAAAGATTATTTTACTGAGACAATTTGATATTTATAACAGACAAACTTCTAATTAGGAATTATTATGAGTAAAATAATATATGATAATGATTATTCAAGACATCATACTAACCTGTACACATGATGCAAGCTTTCAGTAAACGGTTTGTGTAATATAATTTCAAAGAATCTTTCCTTGGTATTTTTCGTATCTGGAGGTATTTTCGGGGCATATAGTATCATAGAATCTTCCCTGTAGCGGACCGGTCTTGAAATATAGTTGTCAGATCGAACTTCAAGGACTTTCGACGGAGACTCTTCCGTGCCAAGAAGGCCACGAAAAACTATGAGGAATTTTCAAATAAATATAAATAACATTGCCATCACAATTTAAACAAAAAACTAAAAGAAAGTAGGTACTTACATGAATTCAACATTTTCCTTTAGTGTGCCTACAATATCTATGAAAACAAAACACTTGATACAAATTATTGATAGATCGTTTCTTTAACAAATTTAGAGAGAACTTCAAGTTTCAAAGAAATATAGTCCTCCCGTAATGTATTATTTAGGTAAAATAAAAACAAGTCAAAAGCTCAACCTTGGAACACAGCACTAAAACAAGAGGTATAAATCACAGACCAACACTCAAAGAACTGGTTATATGCACATAGTCTTTACTAAGAGGTCCCTTTTGACACATGTCCCGTAAATGAGACACTAACAAACAAATACGATAACGGATTACTCGACAATCGATTATAATGTGAGATACCAATGTGGAAGTATTTAATAAAAAAGAAAGAACTAAAAAAGGCAGCTCCACTAGATGGCGACCCTAGCAAAAGTTGATTTTTGCAGGAAACGAATGGACCAAAGACAGTAATTTCCGTTACTTTTAACGAACATATTAAAAAACTGAAATTTTAAAAGTTCGAACTTAGATACCAATACAAATACGAAAACTAAAAATAGAATATGTACTGTTTATTGAGTTTTGAAAATTAATTTACTTTTAAACACGAAAGAAAACCGGAAGGGTTGTCATGGAGAAATAAAGAATGTACAGTAGCGACATCTAGTTATATTTTGGGAACTATTTTTTTTTAATAGTTCTTCATTGATTTTATTGTCAATTTTGTGCTCACACAGAACGATTAAGTGGGCGGGGTCGTACGACCATCCATATGCCCAAAACGGTCATATGAACGTCATGTTACTCAAATTTCCAGTTTATTATCTGCACAATGTCATAGTGGTCTATGGTGCCTCGAAAAATACGAAAATATGCCGAATAGTGCCGTTATTACGAGTCGTTTGCATAATGAAAATGTAATTCTGAAAAAAGGAGAAATTTCATTTCATCGGTAAGTAAAAAATATTGGTTATATAACAGTAAATCGAGATATAATCACATTTTTTTTTCCGTGAGATTATGTCAGTTGTTAACATTGTTAACGATAGCTCTAGATAAAGGATTTATGATAAAAACTGGGATTTAGGGAACCAAAATAAGAAGACCAGGATAGAGCTGAGTGACAACTATATTTTTTGACATGGAAAACAAAAATACGTACAAAATCAATAAAAAAGTAAAAAAGGCTTCAAAAAGGATGGTTGGTTGGTTCAAGGTTGGTAACAAACATAGTGCTTGCAGATATCGATAAAATGCTATCGATAGTACTTAACCCTAATATTATGAATGGCAATCAATTTAAATGCAATTATAACATTAAATCTATTAAGATAAATAGTTAACAGAATTTTTTTAGAGATTTGTATGTTTTTGCTACATAATAGTGTTAATTTGTTACATAATAGTTGCCGCCAATTGTTACATAATAGTGTTAATTTACTATTAAATTTTGTAATTCATTGTGTAATGTGAACAATAAAGAGTTTTGTATTGTATGTTTCAGTTTTCCTAGAAACCCCGACATAAAAGAAAAGTGGATTGACGCGTGATAGAAATGGTCAATGGTTTCCTTCTAAAACTAGTTACATTTGTTCAACATATTTTTCTGTAAATGATTTCATTAATATTAAATAATATGATAAATTACTTACAAATTTATAATGAAATATTATGTATCACATCTAATTTTCTGATTATATAGTCAAATTAAATGTTATATTGGGATATTATTGAAATATAGTTTCAATGAGACATCTTTGTTATTATTTTCCATTCTTAATATATTGTGCTTCATATAATACCTAGTTAGTAAAAAAAATATGGATCATTAAATATACAAAAAAAAGAATTAGCTAGGTATCAAAAAATAAAACTATGACTATATAATAGAAAAAAAGGCTAATTCAAATTATAAAAATCTAGCCCCCAAAGGGCCAAATTATCATCACTGTCACCTGCTCTTGATATGTGACTCCGTTGCAGCCTACTTCTGATTAAAACTGACAAAAATCGCAGTTACTTTGGCACTTTAGCAAGATAGGAATTGGTTTAATTGATCGAGCCGTTTCAAGTGAAAGTTGATTACTATCATTGTGAAGTGATTACATACATATGGTATTTATTTTCATTGGATTTTTTTTCATGATTATGCGAAATGATAAATTAATAAATTATTTTATTATATTAACCCAATATATCAATGATTTTCTGATTATCGATATCAAATTGTGAATCACAGGGCACTTCACTATTTCAGTGTTGACAGAAGCGTAAAATTCTTTGCATTATATATTGAAAAATTGTTTTAATGCAGATACGTCGTGCAATAACATTTTTATGTAATGAAACATGTATTTCAAATGTTTACACATTAACTTATTTAATATCCGCGCACAAAATATAATATTTAGAACTAACAAAAGTAATTGTGCAAATTTTTATTATAGCTAGCCATACATTTTGTGTATTACTGTAAAATCACCTGTATTAATAGGCTAGTATATACTAATTTTGCTGAAACTTTTGTAGCCAATGGAAGCATCGCTCTCTTTGTGAGCTGAATAGGTGAAATTTTATGTCTGTGTGATATCTGGCACGCGCGGTCCTAGTACTAATGTTAGTATGTTATCATTCTAACCTTTTTATCTATTCTGTGCTCACACAGGTCACATGTTATTTTTGCACTACATAATATCTTTACCAACACAAATTTTGAATTTCACCTGGAACTAACACGATTTCCAGAAGTGAAAACAAACAAAAATATGCAAAACAATTTAAAAATAATACTGCTGCGGTACATAATATGTTATTGTTTCAGCTCAAGTAAATGATCATAAATATTTCTTTATTATAATTAAAATTGCAGAATATTAATTTTAATATTGTTACTTTTAAACTTTCATCATATTTTATTAGATCAATAACAACAATTTACTTCTTGATATACCGCAAATAATGACAACTAAAGTTGCATTTACTTTTTTCGTTCGATGATAAATAAAAACATTGTTTTATTTATATTTAAATGGGTATTTTTGTAGTATACGATAACTAACTTGAACTTAAAGGAAAAGGTAAAATAGTACCTAGTTTTGATACATAAAACATATTCTTATGAATTGTTAGTATTGATATTAGTTATATGATATTAGTAATTGTACTCGACATGAACTAAAAACGAATAATGTATGAGAAATTACGCTATTAACTTGGCCACGACACTATATTAAAGAAAAAAAGGATCATGAACGCAACTGTTGGAACGTTACGTAGTAAAAAAAACGTTTAATTTGTAATGAAAAATGCTTAAAACATCCACTTCGTCCCTGGCACTCTGAGATGAGACTCGAATCCATGACCTTTCGAAAGCCGGGCGACTGCTCTAACCACTGAGCTACCCAGGACCTAACAGGACTGATTAATTTTTCAAGCACTTGTTACTTTTCGCTATTAAAGCGCGTATTTTCATCGATGTTCAAGCAATCCATCCAAAAAGCCGAAAGAAATATTTAAACTATCGATACATATGAAAATTTGTTCATATGTATTCATATGAACAAATATTCATATGAAAATTATTCTATATATTTTTTTCGCTATAATTATTAAAATATTCTCAAAGTGCCAGGGATAAAGTAGATGTTTTACGCATTTTTCATTTAGAATATTTTTCAGTATAGCATTGTTAATGCAAAATTGATAAAATATAATAAATTTATACTTTTTATAATTTATAGGTATATCAATCATTCTTAAAAAATGTTTGAGTAGCAACGCACTAAGCAACGCATTTATTTAAAAAATATGTTATCTTTGTAATCAAATTACTTCATAATAATTTATCTCCTATTACGTAGATACGTACAACGTTACGTTTTATCTTCTTTTTGAAGTGACAAAGGGACCTCTTATTTTGTAAATATTGTAACGTTTTCGCTTTGAACAGCCATACAAGCAGTGGCGTGGCGTGAGTGTCTGCCACCCGGGGCGGAAGTCAATTTTGCTGCCCCTCTTAATTAGGTATTTTATATAATTATACTATATATTTTAAAGAATTTTTCGACAAGAACTGTCATCGTTATTTTGCATTATACAGGTTAGAGGTTAGATTTGACTGCACGATTGGAAGAGTGGTTTAGTTGTCGCCATGCAACTGCCCGCGAATCGAGTGTTGTGGTTCAATCCCCACAAAGGATAATGTTTCGTGTGATTTACAAATAATTGTTCTTAGTCGGAGTGTACTTTGTCCCTCGCAACACAGGTCTTGTATCCTACAGAGCGGGCTTGTCTTTTAAGAAACAATAAAAGATTTGAAATAAAAAAAAAATAACTAAACTGAAAATCCATGAATAAAACTTTCTTTGAATTGTCAAAGCATCACGTAGTTTTTTAAAGGGACGTGATAAACAATATTCAACTTTATATATATGTATAGTAGATGTCATTCTTGCTGATTATCAGTCATAAACGATCCAATTACAAAATAAAATACGGAGAATCCCCATAAGTCAATATAGATGGTGTTACCATTCGCTACAAAATTAATTTAAAGAACGAGTATTCTCAGAATATGAATTGGTTCAAATATTTAAAACGTATATTTTATTGTTTACTGCAAAATTTTAAAACATTTATTGTATAAATAGACTTGATTTTGTTAAAAATACAAAGCATAAGAAAAGAGCAAGTAAATCGCACGCCGGCTTATTTTCCCGTGCTAAATTGGCAAGTCAGAACGTGATATGTTTTTTGATTTGTTTTGCTACTTGTTTACGATTGTGTTCGTGATGGCTTGAGGTTACCAAATACAGTTCGATTGACACATTTAAAGTTTTAGTATCAGAATATTTAGTATCAGAATCCGATATTGAATATCGATATATAGTTTCAAATCAAAAATGTGAAAATCTGATATTACCTACCGGTAGATAAAGTATATTTGCTCCTACTTCTAATAGTTCTTGTGAACGCCTTGTATAAAATAAAAAAATAAGGTCCTCTTTAACTATTGATAATTAATATTACGAAATAAATGCTAAAGTATACTAAGGTTTGCGTAAGAAACTGTTAAAATTGAAATGAATAAAAAAACACGATTACATTTTGTATAATCCGCGTTTCACTATTTATAACATTTTTTTTTATATTTAAGATAAAGGAATTTAGACCATGAAGCTTAGCTTCTGGTATTTGTTCTATTTAATATAATAGTGGTTTATTATTAAATATTGAGAAATTATAATAATGTTTGTGAAATTTAAAGTAAAGAAAACAAAGGCGTCGGCAGGATAGAGGTGACCTGTTCCCGTTGTTGCGTTTAACCGCCCTAGTTCCATGGCTTAATTCCTAATGATATATTTTTTGTTTCATATATTATGGTATAATAATGACGATAATAAATATTAATTTTTACTTAAGAAACTTGTAAAAAAGATATACATTTTCATATTTTATTTCAGATATATAAATTTATGGTATGTTATACACACAAGCATAATATAAAGTATTCTTTGGTAAGTCGCTTAAACGCATAATAATGAATGCGATAATTAATTAAATTCTAACATCTAAACTTTAACATTAATAAGTGGATACCGTCAATGGATACATCATGAATTCATGAGTCATGTGACGTGTCATAGTGAAAGTCACACTTATTCAAGTCTCATGTTCTATGTATGCATTATGGGTACTTTTCTAATAAACATTAACAAAATATAACATAATTTCGTTACTTCTAGAATGCTAATTATATAAAATTGCAATTTAATCAAGTGCAAAAAAGTATTTTAATTTTATCGAAGTTATTTAACAGAAATCAGCATATCAGATTATGCATAGTGCTGACAAATGAATTCAATTATTGTTAACCTTATGTTCAATAATATTACAGAATCTGAATAAAAACTTCTAATCTGATATGCTGCCGAAAAGTTTAAGTACTTATACAGGAATACTAAACTTTACAAACAAAAGCAGATCATTAAGGACTAGTAAATCTGTTTTCTGTAAAATGTTTTCTCCAAATCTTTATCGTAGTCTTCTCAAAATAAATTATAATAGAAAAATTATAAATATTTATGATTCACAAAATTTAAAAAAATGGAGTTTCTCTCATAAACTTGAACAACAAAATTGGACAAATCACTAAATGTGACAGCAAAATGGGCGATACAGCATTTGGGTGAACTTGAACTTTTTTGCACAAAAATAGTTCAAGAATTGAAGAGGTTTATTTTGCACAAAATTAGTTCAAGAATTGAAGAGGTTTATTTCGTCAAATTTCATTCTGTAAAAGTACAGTCAACAGCACGTCAGACTATACAAAACTGTCCAATTTCTCCACTTGATTCATTGTTGAGTTCAAAATAAATTGTGGAAATTTGACATATTGTGGTAGTCTGCCTTGCGTATGTACATTGAAAGACGTTATTTAAAGCTGTAGGAATGAATCGTTTCATTGTAATTTTAATTATAGAAGGAAAACATTAACATTTTAATCTAATAAAAGGTAAATACTTACAATATATTTATTTAAGTTTATATATGGTTCTATGTTTAAATAAATCATGGATAATAGCAAGAACTTAATCTACGTAGCTTTATTACTCTAGGTACCAAACCTAACTTGAATAAAATTATATCATTCATAATTATAATAGCATGTAGCAATCGCGTTAATCACTAGATTTATTTCAAGTTCAAGAAATTGTTCTTTGATTTTATAGCTGTAAGGTCATTAGTCATTACATATGTGTCTAAACTTGAACAGAAAGATGGGATGGAACATTATGAGAAAATCAACAGGTATCCAGTGCATGTGCATTGATTAATATAAAATAAACAGTAGCCACCGAGTTGCAGAAACACTGGTGAAAACAAGGTTGACATTAAGCTCTAATAAATGTTCTAAATTTGAAAATTTGTATCGACAATATCACTTTAAACTAATGACATTTTTAATGTGCGTTTCTGCAACTAGGTGAGTTGCTTCAAACAAGCAGTAAAGTTGAAGTAACGGGTTGTAATCTGAAATTGGAACAATTTTATATTATTGGATGATGTCAGAAGCAAAAACACCAGGAATAATTAATTAAAAGTTATTCATAACTTTGAATTTGAGAAAGCAAATTTTGTGTGCCTTGTGGTGGTGTCATCCCAGGGTATGTCAACAATACCAATATTCTCCCACCAAAATACTCTAATCGGCCCATTGTGTGTGAAAAGTTGGCTGTTTTACACCAGCCAACCCAACTTTGCCCAGAAGCTTTTTGAGGTCTTCACTGGGTTTGCAGAGTTGATGGACTGATTACCCCACTGTGATATAATCAACATGCTGTATATAGTTTACGACAATCTTATTCTTGTTCCATCTCTGTCTGTGACATATACATAATAGATTTTGCAAGAAACAATGTCACCAAAATTGCAATCAAGTCAACGACATGTTACATATGTATCTACCTTTATTTGTAATCCTTAAAACTATCTGTTTCGAGAATATTTTGCTATATTTTGTGTACATTATCCTAAAAAATTAAATATAATATTTTTTGTATATATGCACACTCTTTCATTTATACTATTTAAGCTGCATGGCTGTGATTAGAATTGGAACCAGGCAAGCTATCAGGATTAGCGAGAGGGTCAAGCTCTGCAAAAAGTTTAAACCAAGCTGCTTTGTCTTCCTTCTTAGGTGGAATTACAGATTTATTGCCTTTCTCTGTTGAAGACTTTAGTGGTTTATTATTATTGTTAATGCTCACTGGTGTTAAAGGACCTTCCAAAAAATTTGGTGTTGCCAGATCCTGAAAATATAAAAGAATATTCCTTTGTAAATGAATAGGCTCTGAAACTACAGAACCGATTTAAAAAATGATATATTTGCTGAAAGCTATATCATATGTGGTTGACATATAGTATAATAAACTTCGCCTGTTTGAAGTCATGGAAAAGCAGCAAGTGTTATATAGTTAATGTAACATAGCAGTGATACATTGTTATGATTTGTTAAAAGTTTTTTCCTTACCTGAAGTAATTGGGAAGGCATAAATGATTCAAAATTTGCAGATAGATCTTCACTATGTAACTGTAGACCAGCTAAATCCGAAACAATACTTGAACTATTCCCTGAAGGCTCAGACTCAAGAGAAGTAGTGTCAATCAGATTTATGGATGTAGATGGATTTTGTATATTTTCACTGGAGGGAAGTTGTTTTTTGTCATTATCCAATGGTTGTCTATCCTTGTCTTTGTCATCTTTATATTCATCCTGTATGGATTAAAAACAATTTATTTTAATAATCATATCGTAAATGCATAAGAATATAGTTTTCTTCAGTATTTGGCATAAATATGTGACTTCTTTTATACACTATCTATCTAGAGTGAAAAAGGTATATAAAGATTATGTTCAGCTTGCAATTTCTTCATAAAGGCAGCCAGTCAAAACTTATATAAATTAATAATAAGATCAATAGAAATTATCATTGTTGGCTCTATTATACAATATATGCTGAATCATTAACTTTTAAAGTATACAGTATTTAGCCAATTTTTAACCATAGTGCCAAAATAAATACCTGTGCTTCACTTACTCACTGCAAATAAATAAACATTTAAGAAACAGATTTTGATCTACCACAAATTATAGCTCTACACATGATTTACCCAGAGCTACCCAGGAAATGTCTGATGGTCCAGACGTTGGTGATGAGGATGCACAGATATTTTACTTTTACAATTATTGTAATGAACCCCTAGAATAAAACCTGATCTTATACTAAATATATACTTAAAACTCTTTACAACTTTACTTATTATTAAAAATAAAATTGTGAACATAGGAAGATAAGTAAACAAAAGTAAATCAACAACAAAATTAACTACCTGGAAAAACAACATTTGATCCTTATCTTGTGGCACTACATTTTCTGGTTTTGATACACTGTCTTCTAAACTCTGTGATAATTCTTTTAAAATACAGAACTCATATTGAGGAGTAGCATTCATTGTATCAGCAGTAGCAGATAAAGTCTGAGCCACTTTTGTTGTAAATGTTAAAAATGAACATTGATAGTTTGACAACACATGAGAGAACATGTTGCATCGAGCAGCAGCTAATAAATCAATCTGGAAAAATAATTTCAATACAATTTAACATGTTATTACTTGGAGTGGGACAAGGTTGCATTTAAAAACTACATAGTAAGTCTTTGTAAAGAAAGTTCAAGATATTCCATGACTGGATAAACAATACAATACCAAAGCAGAAAAATACTTTCATGGACATACTATACACATAAGTAAGTAAATTATATAATTAGAATTGCTTAAGTAAAACCGATATTACCTTCTGTAAAACGTCTAATGTCAGTTTATCAAAAACTTTTTTGCTCTCTCGAACTTGACGCTGAGCTTTACGGTAGTTTTCAAGACCACGTCCTGTGTCGGGATCCAGCTGTGTACTTGTTGATTTCATCCAGCTCAAAGCAGCACGATATTCAATACGGGCTTTTTCCATAGCCGATACAGTAGATCGCATATCACTAACTGCACGACCTCGAAACGTTTCCACTTCATGATAAAGCCTTAATAATGGTCCCCTAACTGACAACCGTTGCTGTCCAGAGTATGATATCGCTTTCCCCGCTGAAACCATGTGTTTACCAGATGGGTTAACACCTTTACCAGCATCACGTAGAAATTTTCCTAAGGAATTTTCTTCTTGTGATAATATGCACAATCTCTCTTGGTACTGATCTAATACACGTTGGAGTTGTAAGCAGCTATCTGATATTGATCGGAATAATTCCAACTTTGCATCGAGTTCTGCATCTGAAGACACAATACACTCATCCTCCTTTGTACCTAATCTTTTTAGAACAGTTTTTTTAGTTACCCAATACTGATGTTGCATCCTAATATTTTTTCTAGCAAAAAATAAAATGAAATTTGAACGGCCAAGTGAAGAGAGTTTGTAAATTATAATTTTTGACTTTGATTGACACACACAGTGACAATAGGGTTTAGGGATGCAACCACAGATTAGATGCAACGGTATATCGAATAACAGAAATATCTAGTCGCCAAAGTATCGATATAAAAGAAACACTGATTATATTGAAATCGTAAATACCTGGATATCGAAACCCAAACATTAAATTAAGTCGAAAGTGTCAAAATATATCAGTTGTCCAAATTTTAACATGCAAAGCTGATCTTTCACTTGTACTTGCGACATTAATCAACTGTAAAACAGTATTCCCAATCTTGTTAAGAATTTGTTATGTAAACCTTAAAATAGCTGTATTTGAGACATGGCAAAGGATGCAGAGTCTATATGTCAATCTATTTAAATGCTATCTGTCTGTCCGTCTGTCACCAGGTTGTATCACATAAACACAAGTACATTTACAAGTACTATGTAATAGCCTAGTCTGAATTGATTTTGATATTTATGCTTAAGAGCCATATTACATCTCAACTGGGATTTTTGCGTTATTTTTCTCGAAAATAAAATAACAATTTGGACTTGTAGAATAGTGAAGAATAACTCTTGGTATAGAAGTAAGTGGCCTAATTTTTTAGAAATATTGCTCATCTTTTTAATTAAACCCAAAATACCAGAGAAAGATTTTCATATAATGCGCAAAGACACCTTTTTTGAGCTCCTGGATTGAGTTACTGTTCTTAACAAACGAAATAAAAAAAATAGAATAATATTTCTTATATAGTCGTAAAGTAAACAGTAGCGTCGAATTTTTGAAATAGCACTGATTAAATATAGAAAAACAATCATATTATAAACCAAAAAAAATTGTTGAAGTTAACTTTGAATTTCTCTTAGCCACAACAATATTATTTAACAAAAATTATGCCAGATTAATGACTTCATAAGGAGCAAAGATTTTATAATTTTAAAGCATAAATTTATTATATTATTTCAATAAATACGATAAATGGAAACGCCAAATCACTACAAAATACGATGCAGCGGCCGTCTGAGCTCAGTACCACGCGAGCGCTCCTCAACGTTAGACATGTGTCGCATTACTTCGCGCCATTTTCGATCTAGGTACGTTCGAGCGAGCGTAAATAGAGCAGTATAGTGGGACTTCCAACTTTCATCACGAAGTTCGATTTATATAGCTTGTTGAATTATTACTAATAAACATTCGTTATTTTCGGCATGGGTCGAAAGACCCCTTGGTATAAATGTATAAGAAAGTTAAAATATATATTTATATTAAGAAATGCAAATAAAGCAAGGTACTTCTTCTCTCAATACAGTTACTAGTACATAAAAATTGGAGTGCATATTTGTAATATTAAAATAACCGCTTTTCACTAAATATATTTGTGTGTATACACGGTACATATACAAAAATAATATTTTGTATTTATCTGTCTGTTAGTTCTGGCTAATCTCTAAAACGGTTTGGCCGATTTTGAAGGGACTTTCACTAGAAGTAGACTTATATAATAAGGATAAAATTAGACTCATGGCTCGATGCAATTCGAACAATATCAAATTTATCGGAGGTCCGTATATCAAACAACTTTTTCTAAATTCAATATCTTTTTAATTATGAAGTGTGTCTCTTTACGGTTTCGCGTGCATATGTACAATTAGTTCGCACGTTTGATCTGCGATTGTTAAGATTAAGCGACTTTTGCAAGGGCCGGTAGTCGGATGGGTGATCTTTTTTTTTATTTTGATGAACTGGGTGGAGTGAAACAGGCATTTACAAAGATTAAACGACGTTCCTAAAGGCCAGTAATGGGACTGGTGATCAATTTCTTTTATTTGACTGAATGGGGTGGGACAGGCACTGCCGGAAGTGGCCGGGTTTGCTCTCTTCTGTTCTTCTATGTGTACCATTAGTACTAACTATCAAATACTCTAGCGCTTGAATTGCGATTGCGAAGATTAAGCGACGTTCGCAAAAGCCAAATGGGATGAGCGATCAATATTTTTTATTTAGCTGAACTGAAGGGGTGGTGGTGGGGCGGAGCGGGGCATGGCGAGTATTTACTTTCTTTTTAACGCATACTTGCTTAGTAACGTGTAAAAAAAATTTCGTCACCCATCCGATTACTGACCTTTGCAAACGTCGCTTATCCTCTACAATCGCAGATCAAACTTGTTAACTACTTCAGCATCAAGTCAATCCACCCAGCATTTCTGGCTGGACCCATGTGTGGTGGTGCTAAAGCACAGATATTCTTAATAGATGAAATTATTCCAACCAGCATTCATCATTGCATTCAGCACACCAATTAGGATTAGTAGTGTAAAAGCACATATTATTAATCGATGATACAAATGCATCCAGAATTGCAACTGGGCCCACATAAAATTGCCAGTGCGGATTGGTGGTCCTAAAGCATATATATTTTCAATCAGTGATTAATCTACCAAGTAATCCGTACTGGACACGTGCGGTCTTTCTAAATCGCTTGTGTATATACGGATATTGCCGCATTTTTTTTGTAAAATTTAATATATTTTGATAATATGTAAGTTTGCACAACTGAATTGTTCTACCGCCTTCATACATTTGAAGCGATACCGCTGACCATGAGATTTGTGACCGATATTGACAGATTGTACAATCCCATGAGCAAACACTTGCGTTTTTCTATACATTTTATAAATGCGTGCGATTCGTGCGATATTGCTCATCGATATCGAATAACATCGCATCTAGCCATAAGAAAAGAACCTTAGGTTACTTTCCATTCGCATAAAGTCGCGGGCACAACTAGTTTAATAGAATTCTAATTTACTACTTTTCAAAACAGGAAACAATACCTGTATCCGAATGGATCATGCCAAGAAAAACAAACATATTTCCTATGGATGACGAAAATATTCCGAAATCGTTGACGAAGAATATGGCACGAATATTTTTTTATTAATATTTATATTTTATTTATATTTTATGATATATTATCTTAGATATTTATATTATATAGCCTATGATTTGGCTAAACTTGTTTCTTTTAAATTTTGTCTGATCTTAACAGTCGTGTTTTTAATTTTTAAATTATTTATTTATATTTTATTTCTTGTAGTGAGCAGGTAATTATGTATAGAGATTATATATTTTTAATGTACTTATCAAGACACATTTTTAATGTACTTATAAAGTAATAATTAAAAAAATATACTTTTTTAATTGGCGTCACACGTCCCCATACCTATTTAATATTAAAAAATATAGCTAGTGTCACTATCAAAGATTACAATATTATACTGGTCACTATGTAGTTTGTGGTAACTTAGGATGACGTTTCTAATGATACCCTATACATTCATATCGGTATCTTTCAAAAGTTATGGTGCAATACAATACAATTCATCTTTGCCGAAAAGGTAAACTGATAAGTGCATTCTGTTACGAGCTCCACCTAAATTATTTTTGAACGTGTTTATTGTGTAATTGTTTTATCACGACTAAATTGAATAACATCATACTAAGTTAACATAATAATCACTGTGTGCGTATAACTGCAATAAATTGTTGATTTCGTAATAATTGTTAATACAACAACAATACGTCTTCGTGTGAGAACTACCGTCTTGGTTTTTGTGAACGAGCCCCCTGCAGGTGAATGTGGCGTGCGTGTCCGTAGTGTGAGTACAGAGTTAAGTGCGAGATTTGCGTGCGCCGTTCCACTACGTGTTTACCGGGTCGTGTGTGCGTCATCGAACAAAGACTAAGCGACGCAGACGTGCCTACTTTGACTGATACCTCTCAGAGGCAAAAGTTATATCAAAATAAAACACTGACGGTGAGTTTGGAATCTGAATATTATTTTATTTTATACACAATGAATTGCTTGGCGTGTAGCGGTAAGATCAGTCGCAACGAAGTATTGGTTTGCATCAGCTGTAAAGGGCATTATCATTACAAGTGTCTTAACATGAAACAGCAAACCTATATATTAACTAAAGGTAACTGGTTATGTCCCACTTGTGATAACGTAAAAAGGCGCCCGAAAGGCGATGAAACACCTACCCGACGCCAGTTCGAGCAACCAACAGTTGATGCTGATATGTCGTGTGACGATGTAAATTTTGAATTTGGGGGTGGATCGAGTAATATCTCAGCCCCTACTGAGCCTAGTCTTATAGATGTTCTTCAGGAAATAAGGGCTTTTCGTGCAGATTTTACTACTGTTAACTCTAATATACAAGTTATAACCAATGCTATACAGGATTTGAGTAATAAATTTAATGAAATGGAGACCCGTTTTAGTAACATCGAAGATAGACTTATAGAAACTGAGAGAAAAACTTCGATTATACCGCAACTGAAGGCAGAGTTGGATTCTGCGAGGGAAACCGTTTCTGGATTACAATTAGAGAATCACACGCGAGAACAATATGCACGAATAAATAATATTGAAATCTCTGGAATACCTGTTACCGCTGGCGAGAATCTCCATACACTATTACAAGTTATAAGTAGTAAGGTTGGGCATGTTTTGGATGAACGTGACATAGATGGCATCGTACGTGTGAAACGTTTTGAATCTGAGGATATGTCTACGTCTGGGTCTAGCAAGCCGCGCCCTCCTGCTATTGTTGTGAGATTCACGCGCCGTCTTGCTAAGGATAAAATGTTGGCTGCAGTGCGTTCAAGACGTGGTCTTACCACCACCGATATTGATCTTTCTGGCCCCAAACAGAATATATACGTGTCTGACCATCTTACCCCCCGCAATAAGATACTTTTAAAACGGGCCAGGGAGTTAAAAATTAGCATGGGATATACATACTTATGGATAAGAGACTGTAAAATCTTAATGCGTAGGAACGACAAGTCCAAAATTATTGTTATAAATGGTGAGTCAGATCTATCCAAGTTAAAGTGACTACTAAACAACAATTTCACTTTCCTTTTTATTAAAATTTATTATGCAGCCTTTATAAGTTTTGATTGTGTGAATCGGGTTGCTGTGGGTTTTAGATTGGTGACTTTAAAATATTGGAAAGGTATGTTAAAT